CCCATGTTAAAAGTGTGGGATAACTAGTCTAGGATAACCCACAAGATTAAGCTGAAGGTGTTAAAACCATAGAGTAAGCTGTCCTGCCATACTTAGCCTAGGTCTCTCCCCCTCACCTTGGGATGAAGGTAATCAAGCCTATTGGTACACCTCAGTCTGTGTACCGAGAGGTTTTTAGCTGGTTGCTGCAGCTCAGACTGCATGGCTCTTACAAGCCATTCTCGTGTTCCCATACCAAGAATTTAGGAACTTTCATTATTGTAACCTAGCCAGGTTTATTGCCTATGCAGCATTTTCTGAACGCTATATGGAAAAGCATGTGAACCTGACCTTTGGAGAGTTTGTAAGTAAACCATAGTAAACTTACGAAATGTGTGATCTTTTTCTATGCTAGGGGAAGTAGGAAAATTTGGAAGGGCATATTGTAAAGATCTAACAGCCATGATCACTGCAGATGGTAACAGCAGTCACAAAATTAAAAGACACCTGCTTCTTGGGAGAAAAGCAATGACAAACGTAAACAGCATCTTAAAAAGCAGAGACATCACCTTGCCGACAAAGGTCCATATAGTTCAAGCTATGGTTTTCCCAGTAGTGATGTATGGAAGTGAGAGCTGGACCATAAAGAAGGCTGATCACCGAAGAATGGATGCTTTTGAATTGTGGTGCTGGAGGAGACTCTTGAGAGTCCCATGGACTGCAAGAAGAACAAACCTCTCAATTCTGAAGGAAATCAGCCCTGAGTGCTCCCTGGAAGGACAGATCGTGAAGCTGAGGCTCCAACACCTCATGAGAAGAGGAGACCCCCTGGAAAAGACCCTGATGTTGGGAAAGATGGAGGGCACAAGGAGAAGGGGATGAGATGGTTGGACAGTGTTCTCGAAGCTACCAGCATGAGTTTGACCAAGCTGCGGGAGGCAGTGGAAGACAAAGAGTGCCTGGCATGCTCTGGTTCATGGGGTCATGAAGAGTTGGACACGACTAAAAAACTAAACAACAGCCTATATTTTCATGCTTTACTTTGCTGCATATTTTGTGAATTTAAATCTCTGCTGGGTTTCTCTCACCAAATAGCACCTGCCCCAAACTTGGATCTTGGCAACAAGGGAATTCTCCTGTATTTATACATGTTTGTCTTTCATTGTAATTTGCATTGCTAATATCCTGTTTAAGAGAAACTCCAGCCATGGGTATTTGCATAGTAACATCTTGGCGATGCAGTATTTGACAACATTCTTAGTATGAATGGCAATATTATACCTTTAAGATATGTCTCAGGTGCAACCAATTAACTGTGTGCTAGCATAACTGAGATACAGTAGGATTTGGCATTAAAATCAGGGCACCAGGAACTATTTTTTTCAGTGAGGTTTGTATGATCATAAGACTGATAAGCAACAATTATTTATGTGCTTTATTATTTCAAGTGCTTAAATTATGACTATAGTAGCTTTTGGAGTATTTTGATATAACTTTTATTGTACTTATGGAATTATTTATATCAGCATAGTCTTATGGTTTAAAAATATTTATAGATGGTATAGTGAACTGATATTGTTTTGTGCGCTTGTGTGTTTTGTGTATACAGCAAATACACTGATGAAGGGTGCATTTGGAAACCTACGCAGTCTGGCTTTTGATCATTAGCACTCGATGCTGAATACACTACTAATTGAATTTTCAAACTGGCCTTTTCATGCATGTTTTTGCTTAGCTTTAATAGCATAAATGGGACGCGGGTGGCGCTGTGGGTTAAACCACAGAGCCTAGGACTTGCCGATCAGAAGGTCGGTGGTTTGAATCCCCGCAATGACGGGGTGAGCTCCCGTTGCTCGGTCCCTGCTCCTGCCCACCTAGTAGTTCGAAAGCACGTCAAAGTGCAAGTAGATAAATAGGTACCACTCCGGCAGGAAGGTAAACGGCGATTCCGTGCGCTGCTCTGGTTTGCCAGAAGCGGCTTAGTCCTGCTGGCCACATGACCCGGAAGCTGTACGCCGGCACCCTCAGCCAATAAAGCGAGATGAGAGCTGCAATCCCTGAGTCGGCCACGACTGGACCTAATGGTCAGGGGTCCCCTTACCTTTTAATAGCATACATGGATCATGTGCCTTCTGCTCATTTTTTATTAGCCCTTTCCATATGAGCCCTTTCCCAAACGCTTAGACTTTCAACTGACCCCAGTCTCTAAATCAGTGTTTCCCAAACTTGGGTTTCCAGCTGTTTTTGGACTACAATTTCCATAATCTCTGACCACTGGTCCTACTAACTAGGGATAATTGGAGTTGTGGTCCAAAAACAGCTGGAGATCCAAGTTTAGGAAACACTGATTTGGATAGTATTTAATCACAAATGAAGACGTACCAGTGTGGAACATGACTCTGCTTGGCTGTGTAGACTTCTTTGAAGAAGATTCTGCCTGCTTTTCACAAAGTAAGTTAACACCTCTTTTTAAAGGCTGTTTTTCTTCTAAAAACATTTCAATATGCATGTTTCATTGTTTTGATGGCAAATCGCATTAACTATAAAAGGAGAAGCAGGGTGTATGATTTCAGACTTTGTGGTGCAAGATATATTCATTTCATTAATAGCTCAACCCCTGAATTGCTATATCATCCAGATCCACCTGTGGCAAATATCATGTATTTGAGCTACATTCAGCCAGGATTGTCATTAAGTTATCTGGTTGCCATTGGTAACTAGAATGTGTGCCCAGCTGGTGGGTACCGTATTTTTCGCTCTATAGGACGCACCAAGTTTTACAGGGGGAGAACAAGAAAAAAACAACTCTCTCGCTCTCTGTAGCCCCTTCCATTTCTCTTCCCGCTTCACTGAAGAGGCGCTGTGCAGAGAGGGAAAGCTGCGCAGCACCTCTCCAGAGAAGCGAAGCCAGGAGAGCAAGAGGGATTGGTGCGCACCAAGCCCTCTCGCTCTCCAGGCTTCAGCGAAAGAAACATGAAGCCTCTGGAGCGCGGCGGGAGTTGCTTTCGCTGAAGCCAAGGAGCCTGCATTTGCTCCATAAAACACACACACATTTACCCTGAATTTTTGGAGGGGGAAAAGTGTGTCTTATAGAGCGAAAAATACGGTAAGTCAGAGCTCATCATTCACAGCACACTCCCTAGCCCTTTAGTTGGTAAAAAATCTAGTACTAATTGGACTTAGAAGAATAGAGAAGAATAGAGTGGCTGGGAAACCCAGCCAGATGAGTGGGTTTAAATAATAAATTATTATTATTATTATTATTATTATTATTATTATTATTCCGGTTTTATTTTTCAAAGAGCTCTCTGGGGCATCATTTTTGCCTTGATTACTCAGCCAGTTTAAGACAATTTAGTGGTACTGTCCTCTGCATTCTTGGAAGGTGCATTTGCTGCAGAGCCCTTAGGAGAAAACAACTGGGAAACTGCTTTTGCATTAGATTTATTAGACGAGTTTGCAAGGCTGCTTATATGTAGGATCTACAAAGGGGAGTCAAGGGTAAAAAGGATTCTATGCAACTGTAGCCATGATTTTTCTGTGTGTCCCTTTGTGTTCCTTGAAAGTTAAACGATGGTGGGAAAATAAGTTCCCACATTTATTATTATTATTTTTTTGCTTTGGTCTGAATGTAATTTCAGTGCAGCTGTTTTTAACTCATTTTCTGAAGCCACAGAAATGTTTGAAAAAAACAGAAGTGGGTTTTGACTTGTATTCACTGCAACTCTAAGTAAGTGTCCTGTTAGTGAAAGGGTTGACTCTTGCTCAGTGGGACTTCCTGAAGGGAAGCTTGCTTGCTTGGTGCTGCATTGGATACAAGCCTAAAAGCTTATGTAGGCCAGCTCCTATTGGTTTGTTTTTGGGAAGGCTGGGGACTCTTGAGAACCTTCTGGCAAGGCTACTCACATGGTTTCTAGCCACATCTTAAATACTTTGAATGCAAATATATTGCAATGCAGAAATCTTATGTGTTATTCAGATAGGCCTTTGCTATTTGAATTCGTTTTAACAACCAGTACAGTGGTACTTCGGGTTAAGAACTTAATTCGTTCTGGAGGTCCGTTCCTAACCTGAACCTGTTCTTAACCTAAAGCACCACTTTAGCTAATGGGGCCACACGATTTCTGTTCTCATCCTGAAGCAAAGTTCTTAACCAGAGGTACTACTTCTGGGTTAGCGGAGTCTATAACATGAAGCACCTGTAACCTGAAGCATCTGTAACCCGAGGTACCACTGTATTTATTGATACTGTAATTGTGTTTGATGTATACTACCTTGCTATGTTTTTGTGAATGTATGTTTTATAAATATTTAAATACATGCATGCATAAAGGTAAAGGTAAAGGTACCCCTGCCCGTACGGGCCAGTCGTGCCAGACTCTAGGGTTGTGCGCCCATCTCACTCAAGAGGCCGGTGGCCAGCGCTGTCCGGAGACACTTCCGGGTCACGTGGCCAGCATGACGAAGCTGCTCTGGCGAGCCAGAGCCGCACACGGAAACGCCGTTTACCTTCCCGCTGGTAAGCGGTCCCTATTTATCTACTTGCACCCGGGGGTGCTTTCGAACTGCTAGGTTGGCAGGCGCTGGGACCGAACGACGGGAGCGCACCCCGCCGCGGGGATTCGAACCGCCGACCATGCGATCGGCAAGCCCTAGGCGCTGAGGCTTTAACCCACAGCGCAACCCGCGTCCCTTACATGCATGCATACATACATACATACAAATGCACTGAGATGAATTTGTATTGCAACATGGGAATAATCATCCCGGGTTATATTTTTCTTCCCATAAAATGCTGTAATACAAACACCTCAAGTAATTTCCATTTTAGGGAGGGAAAATGAATTGACTATGGCCTTTTGCAATGGTACAGTATGTATGAACATGTACAAAAATACATCTCCATGGTATCCTACTGTGCTCCAGTATCCATTCCTACTCTGATGTCCAGAACCTGCCTAACTCACTTCCTGGCTCTCTCTTGTTTCTCCCAGCAGAGGAAGAAAACTGAACACCTTACATACCTTGGTGTTTTCTTTTTTATTTAAATAAGCATAAACCCTTCAGTGCTGCAAATGCAAAAAAACAAGGCAACAAAAAACAAACCAAATACATAATATATAACATGGAGGGAGAAAAGAACTTCATTGAGGGCAAATTGCATATTCCAAGTATCAGGTAAATGTTATGTGACCAGTTCATTTTGTTACAGTTCTACCAGACAGAGAAAGAGAAAGAAAAAACAAGGATTTTATCAAGTAATCCAACATGTAGTTAAGCACTTCAAAAAGCACATCAATTTAATTTGCTTTAGTTATGTTTTAAAACCTGCTGCTTTTCTACCAACTCAATATTGATTTAGTCTCTTACAAAATAAAGAAAGCTCATCTATCATATTCCCATCTCCTACCCTTTCCTGATCCAGAACTAATCTACACATCCAGTCAATGGATGCAACACACAACTACCATGCTACTCTATCCAAGTCACCTAGGATAATTTTTCATAGCAAAGATAAATAGAAAAAGGAGTTACTATACATGTTGCTCTATCTTACATGTTTGTATCCAAGCTGTAAACTCATATCCTTTTGAACTGATCACTTTCACCCCTCAATTATATACTTTTTAAAAAGACAAATTTTAGATATTAAAGGCATGTTATTCAAATCATTTACATTGAAGGCAAAGAATGTTATCTTTTCCATCTCAAAAATGATGGGCTAGGAACTACCTTCAGTCTGCTCCCGCTATCCACCACCAATCTTTCCTACATAACCAGCTTCATCCATTATCTACAGAGGAATTCACCACTTAAATAATTAGTATTCTTCATCTCAAAGTAAACTGTCAAAGCCCAGAGAATGAAATATAGTTGAATTTAAGACAGCAGTTCATTTGAAATTAGAATCTTTTAGCTTATGTATTTAAATGCAGTTCTCAGGTAACACGAGTTAGTCAAGCGGTCCTTGGAAAATAAGTCTGATGTAGCCTTGTTCACCAGAAAGCTGATGTGCGCAGAACGGACAGGCTGCATGAAAAGTGTGGGTACCATGAGGAAGAGGTATTTGGGACCAATAGGCAGTTGTCTTTTCTGAGCACACATGTCCACATGGGCTGAATGCGTGAGTTGGAGGGCCAGCATCCACATAAAATCCAGCTTCACATCCAAGCCAGAGCGGCACATAAGGGCCAACAGATCGACACATGGGGCATTCCCGGTCCTTTCCATCTCTCTCTTCTTTGTTCCCCCAGTTGTGGTAGCCATGGACGTGGCCACAGTTCAGGTAAACCCAGGGTTGCTTTTCATCTACAACGTCTTTCCTCTTCATACTAGGAAAGGCTAGTGTGTTAAAGCCCACAGGGCACTGAGGTCGAGCGGCATTTATTTCCTGTCTTAGAGCTTCCAAGTGCTTCACGGTGGGAGTGCGCGAAAGGCCTTCTGCAGTGCGCCACAGTAATGTTGCTCCACAGAGGTCAATCAACGAACCATCCTGAAGTTGGTTTGTTTCATTTTCAACCTAGAAGAGAACACAAATACAAATTTCACAAACAATGACTTAATTTAAAACAGGCATAGGCAAACTCGGCCCTCCAGATGTTTTGGGACTACAGTGGTACCTCGGGTTACAGACGCTTCCGGTTACAGACGCTTCAGGTTACAGACTCCGCTAACCCAGAAATAGTACCTCGGGTTAAGAACTTTGCTTCAGGGTGAGAACAGAAATTGCGCGGTGGCGGGAGGCGCCATTAGCTAAAGTGGTGCTTCAGGTTAAGAAGAGTTTCAGGTTAAGAACGGATCTCCAGAATGAACTAAGTTCTTAACCCAAGGTACCACTGTACAGCTCCCATCAACTCTAGCTAACAGGACCTGTGGTCAGAGATAATGGGAGTTGTAGTCCCAAAACATCTGGAGGGCCAAGTTTGCCTATGCCTCATTTAAAAAATAAAAAAGGTAAGGAGACCAGAACACTGTAGCCACATCAGATAACTAAAAACACTGTTCCTTTGAATGGCTTTATAACCATCATTTTGCCAATGATGGCCAACTCAAATTACCAACTATTAACAATTGTTTAGTATCTGAGCCTGAAATAAAAAGTCACATGGCTGGCCCCTATTCTAGATTAAAGTTCTTTTTGCCAAGATGATGCACAAGAAGGGCTTTGAACTCTTGAAACACACAGTAATAATAATAATAATAATAATAATAATAATAATAAATTTTATTTATATCCCGCCCTCCCCAGCCGAAGCTGGGCTCAGGGCGGCTAACAACAGTCAAATAGTCAAACAGTCAAATATAGTATAAACACTGGCTTTAACTAAGCACAGAAATAAAAGACTGGAGTTAGGAAAATGGAGTTTGTTCTATAACTGGCTACGTGAAGCAACTTCATAATGGAAGAAACAGTCTTGGTTTCAACAGTTCTTTAAAAACCCATTGCAGAACAGCCCACAACTGTTTTGTTTTAAAACTGCTTTAAAACTGTATCTTGATTTTATGGATTTTAGAACTGCATCTTGATGGCTAAAACTGGTGGGCCTGTTCCGTTCTGTCAACATTTCCACTGGGGCATCTCTGGCTTCACCAAAAATGCCCCACCCTTTACACACACACACACACACACACACACACACACACACACACACACCCGGCCTGGAATTCTACGATGTTTCAGGCAACCGAGTCTAGTCACAATTTATAATTTCCCACAGTGCTTCCAGCATAGCATGAAGCATTTTTCTGTGGTGTTACTGGAAATTTAAAATGCATGACCACTGGCAATATATTTCTTACGAAAGATAATAGGTACCAATCTAGGTTTCTGCTTGCATTATATAGGATTGTATAAAGTTCCAAGTAGCAGGTACTGAAAAAGGAACTATATTCCAAATTTGAAAGATGGGAGGGAAAATGGGAGGGGCCCGATACTTGGAAAACAAGACAGTAATTGCAAGAGTGTTTGCAAAGAATATCTTTTGTACCTCACCTTTCGTTTCACACAGAAAAGCAATAAATACAAGGTGCTCATACTAACATAGATCCTCATCCTGCAACTATCTAGTAGTGGATTAGATGCTCTTGGAAATAGGGCATTCTACTCCAAATGTAGCATGACATCTTCACGGACACTCTTTACAGCTGTCTGGCAAACTTGCTATTTTCTCAGACTTACCATTTTCCCCCTCTGCTGAGCAGATCTTGTTTCACGAAGACTGAACACATTCCCACATACAGATATCTCCCTCCATACTCCGGGCTTGGAGTCTTCAGTGAATCCATTGCGCGGATGCATAACAAGAACCCCATTTGTGGTTAACCCATCCATTTGCCCATCCAAAGTCTTCCACTTGGCAGCTTTCTCCTATGGGGAAAACATCAACAAGACAGCTTTCATTCATTGGTTCTTTGCAGATCAGTTGAAAAGCACGCTAATATGTTAAAACGTGCATTGAGAAGCAGAAGGAAGCAACCCCTTACCCCTAGAAAGATGTTTTTGGAGGAGTCAAAGCCAGCGGCATATATTCTTGCTGTGAAAGGAGGATTTCGTTCACATATGATTCTGCAAGCAAACCTTGAGATAGTGCTCTGAACAGACTGAGTCTCTGAATTGCTCTGGCTTCCGGGAACAGTATCTGTCACTACGAAGTCTATAGGGCTCTCTGTTGATCGTCCAATCTGACAAAAACAAAATGGATAATAGATTTATATACAAAGCACTCTAGCGAAAGTCAACAATTAATATTTCATCCCTGCCCTAGCTAAGTCTCAAGCATGCTACCCTATCTCAATCATTTGACTTCTAATGCTTTAGTACTGTAATGCAGACTCAAAGAACAGCCCCTTGGGATCTTTGGAGCAATGGGAAATAATACTATCCATCTATTCATTGAAGAAAGCATGCAGAAATTCCCAATGCAGGCATTGTAATATGGCTGAGAACTACTGCCAAAAACTGTAGGGGGGGGAGGTGCCCCCTGAAAAGAGTTCCACTTCAACAGAAGAACTGACCAAAGACTGATATCTTGCATCAAAGTTATAGAACAGTAGTATGTATTCTCAAGTTCAAGATTTTTTTTTGTACTGGGTTGTGAATCCAAAGCTACATTCCAGCAGCAGTTCTTCAATTAATGCCCTTACTGTGGTGAATCAGAGAGCACATGTATTGTTCAGTCTGAGACCCTGGACACATCCCCGCCACGTGGTTGGGGAAATGGTAGCCTGAAATTAGGAATGTTCTTTCAACACGCATATCGTCAGGACACAGATAAGCTACTCAGTTCAACATGAACACAGATACACAGATAGCCTCGCACCTTTTTTAATGGCTGAAAACAATGGGTTGCCAGCTGCTCTTGGCTGCAATCCAAGAATCCCCTATTAGGTAAAGCAAGCAACACTTTTCAGGTTTTATCAAAAGCTTCTGCAAAACCAAAACATTAATGCCCCTTAAAAGCGGGGGGGGGGGGGGTTATTGCAAGGATGTAGTACAGCAGATTCTCCCCCAGCATAGCTGTTGAGTAGTTACTGAAATGGGTCCAAATGGGTTTTACTGTATCTATGTGGGCTTTATTGTTTTGTTTGTTGGTTTGCTTGTTTGTAAGTCACTTTGGGTTGCCTTGGGCAATGAACAGGTTTAATAAATAAACAAAAATAAATTGTTTGAGCAGCTATTGGAACCAGCACATCTTAAATGTTGTGTTTTTTAACCACCCTCGGTCAAAGTGACAGCCTCATTTCTGTCAAACCCACCCCCATTTCGAAAGCACCAAAGATGGTACTTTTATTTGCCCTGTTTTGAAGTGATCAAGAGCCAACAGGTTCTACACGTTGGTCTACACCCGAAGGATCACAGGAGAAGTGTTTTGACACCCTCAGCCCATCATGTCAAACAGCAACTGCAGACCTCTCCTGCTACTGTGATAACCTTTGGCCACTCACCTGGACTGTGTTCCTGGGCCAATTTATGCTATCAAAAGTATCAACATAGGGACAAAAGAAGCTCCTTTAGACTGAGTAAAAGCATTGGTCCACTTAGCTCAGTACTCTCTACACTGGGTGGCAGCAACTCTCCAGTTTCAGACAAACTTGAGACCTTCTGCAAGCCACTGAGATGAAGCGCTTCAAGCAGCAATGCTTTTTACAAGGCTGCTTTGTTTCAGGCTATGATATGTTGGAAGGCTTTCCAAAAGATTAAAGTTCCTACAGATAAAAATGGATTATGATGGGGTGAAGGCTGGACTAGAACTCCTTGGTGTGCTCATTTTCTATCTGATTTTCTTGTAGGGGATCATTTGAGGCATGCAATTGCCACTTGCAGGCTGAACTGGTAAATTTCAGGGGGGAAGCTTTACCACTTTGATTCTTCAGATTGCTTATGGTGTGTTTCTTTTGTGTTACTTGCTTGACAAAAAAAATTCTCATCAGGATCAGGTATGTGGCTTGCCAGTGTATTTCATGAGAATGCATTGACAGCAGCTACTGAATTTTGTGGTCCTGTGACAGGCCAGGGCCTTCTCCTGACACCTCACAGCTCAGCTTTCCTCAACATGGTGTCTTTCAGATGTTTTGGACTACGGCTTCCATCATCCCGGATTATTGGCTGGGGCCAGTGGGGCAACACAACATCTGGAGGGCACCGGCTTGGGGAAATCTGGCACACTGGATAGAGGCTATTACCTATGAAGATTCATGCCACAATAGGACAGTTTGAACCGACACAGTACTTTTTGCCCTCTCCCTGCAGCAGCTATTTTTCTTGGATCTGAATTTAAAAGTGCCTGTAGTCCACATTATGACTTACAAAATCTGCAATGTAAAAGTCCTAGGAAGGTAAGACAGAAAAGTAGTATATTTTGGGTGCCATTATAGTAATAGAATATTAATAGAACTTTGAGCAAAAATCATTAAGTTTAATGCAGATCAGAAATCTGGACAAAACTCATATCTGAAGAGCATTCTCTCTCTAGAAATAGTTCACTGTACCCAGCAAGACAGCTTTTCATTAACGTGTAGTGATTGTTTTCAGCTGAGACAAACTTCAAAATTTGCTTGTGAAGGAAGTTCCTTTATAGAAGGGGGGGGGGAGGGTGATACACAAGAAAGGAAGAGAAAGATCAAATTACTTGGCCCTAAAAAATGTTTACTCTGGCTGGCTGTGGAAAAGAAGAGAACAAAGCCCTGATCCCCTGGCTCTTTACAGGGACTTCCTTCCCGTCTCCATTAGCCAATAAACCCCCAAAGGTCTTTTCTAGTTTTACTTTTCTCAGGGTTGTTGAGTTGCTGATGTTATTAGCGTTAATGGCCTGGGCAAGCAAAATAAAAAACCTTATTTTTTCATGTTACTGCAACTGTAGTTGCTTCTTTCAACACGAGAACAAGTTCTGATGGCAACAGCAGTCTTAATCCCGGGGTGATCTGTAATTCAAGCATACTTTATATACCTGAAACATGTCTGTGTTGCTGTCATGTGTATATTCAACCACCACTGTTTGAACTCGAGACAAGGTGTAGGATATACTATGCTGGTCCTTGTTGCTTATTGCCTGTGGAAAAGAAAAAGTGTATTTTTGATTATGATAAACCGGACAGATAAAATAGATTAGCAAGAACAATTCTTCATCTTAACAAAGCGCACTCCTGCTAGAATAAGGCTGGTTTTAAGGCAGAATTTTGAATGGTTAACAGTTAACATTTTAAATGTCTATTGTTTTAATACTGTGTGAACTACATAGAGGACTTTGTTGATAGGGCAATCAAAAAAAGGTTCAAACACACACACAGTTATGCTTTCCCAAGTCTCACTATTTCAGATAAGTGTTTTACAGGTCACGTAATGAAACTGCAGTACTCCATCTCAATTTCCTAATGACCTAGGTTAGGAGAGAAATACTTCAGTATGATTTCAGCATAACCAATATGACCATTTAACTTCCACTATTACTGCTAAAAGGTACGTGGGTGGCGCTGTGGTCTAAACCACTGAGCCTCTTGGGCTTGCTGATCAGAAAGTCAGTGGTTCAAATCCCCATGACGGGGTGAGCTCCCATTGCTTTGTTCCAGCTCCTGCCAACCTAGCAGTTCAAAAGCACGTCAAAGTGCAAGTAGATAATAGGTACTGCTCCGGCGGGAAGGTAAACGGCATTTCCATGTGCTGCACTGGCTCTCCAGAAGGGGCTTAGTCATGCTGGCAACATGACTCGGAAGCTGTCTGAGACAAATGCCGGCTCCCTCGGCCTACAGAGCAAGATGAGCGCATAACCTGAGTCGTCTGCAACTGGACCTAACGGTCAGCGGTACCTTTACCTTTTTATTACTGCTAAAACCTTCCGATATCTCAAGTTCTCAATATTTGGCCAAGAGCTCTGACATTAAATAATAAATAGTAATGTCACGACTTTCTTAATACATGCTAACTGCATACTTCTCTTTTAATTTCATGCTTATTACCAGCATTTTATCTCACTTACTCACACACATGCGCAGCCTGCCATGGCAGTGATTCTGCAATATCACCCGACCAATGACATGTCTCAGCATGACCATGACTCTTCTTCCTTTGCCTGTAGTGGAGGCAGCTGATATTTTGGAGCAACCCTGGGAAGATGGCTCATACTGTATTCATTTGAACCAGGGCTGGAGAAGCAGAGGCCCCACAGATGTTGTGGGATTCCAATTCCTATCAGCTCCAGCCAGCACAGCCAAAGGTCAGGGACTACAGGAGTTTTCCCACCTCTAATGCAAGCCTTACTTTCATCGCTACCCAAACCTTTTGTCATTGCTGCTGCCATCCAGGAAGACTATGACACACCCCTCTCCTTACACTCTGTACCAGAGAAGTGGGCTGGGCTCATGCTACGTTCAATTGCTGCGCATGGCAGCATCCTGCTCCAGCACAGCCAAGCAACACAAGCAGGAGGTTTGCTTTTACGGTATAAGGGGTGGAAACACCCTGCTAACCTCAGAGAATTCATCTGCTTCAATGACAGTTAAATCATTATTGTTACCAATTGCTGTTATACTGATCATTGTGGCAGCAGACTTCAGTCTCCTGATTATTTTTTGGCACTGTATTTTTAAAAATACTTTGATGCAATTTACCTGTTAATATTATCACATGTGTTTTTGTGAGCTGCTTTGCATTTTCTCTTTTTAGTGGAAAAGCCAACATGTTAATAAATAGTTTAAATAAATGAATGAAGGCAAGGGCTACTGGTGGAGAAAGTCCACATGTCCTCTGCTCTGCACCATGCTTAACCTTTACTTCGGTTTTCTTGTAATCTTTGAAAACCAACCGTTCAAAGAAAGGGTACAAATAGACAGTTCAAACAATGCAGTGCTTTAAAGTCACCTTAGCTCCACCACTCTGAGTATGTTAAGCACATATCTTGGTTACTTTCTTAAAACAGCAATGAGCACAACCCTAAGTTAACTGAAGATGACACACAGATGAGAGTTCAGACGTACTCAACATCACATACTATACCTCAACGCAGGCTTCAAGGACGGAAACTAAGGCACAAAATGAACACTCGAGCCCTTCAAGATCCCATTAAGCAGGATTGCTTCCCAATGATTCTTAAGGACCATCTGCTTTCAGAGTTCCCTATAACATCGAGGAACATTGGACCAAGCTAAAAACATCCTTTACTTCAGCCTGTGAATAAACCACTGGATACCAAACCAAGAAACACCAGGACTGGTTTGATGAGAAGGCCAGTGAGATTGAACACATTATTCACAAGAAAAGGAAGAGCTTTCAGATCTGCCAAAGAGATAGAAACTGTGCTACTAAGAAAAAAAACCCATGCCAATGCTGAGGCTGAGGTTCAAAGAAGAACCAGAGAACTAAAGAACACCTGGTGGATAAAAAAAGCTCAAGAGATCCAGCACTTAGTCAACACTCACAATGCACAGAGTTTCTTTAAAACAACAAAGACCATCTATGGGCCAATAAATCGTGGAACATGCCCCCTATGCTCAGCAGATGGTACCACACTTCTAAAAGATAAAGAAGCTATTGCACTGCTCTGGAAAGAACATTACCAGCATCTCCTTAACCACAACTCCCCCGTAGCTGCTGAGGTCCTCCTATAAATTCTGCAAAAACATATTAGAGATGAGCTTGCAATATCTCCAAATCTGGGAGAGTTGTGTACAGCTATTAAGCAAATGAGAAACAACACCACCAGCGGACCTGATGGGATACCTGCCAAAGTCTTCAAATTTTACATATCACTTGGGAAGAAATGCAAACTAATGCCAATGTACTGAAAAAAGCAAAGATCACCAGTGTTGAAGCAATGATTCTTCAACATCAACTTCATTGGACTGGTCATATTGTTCGGATGCCTGATTATTGTCTTCCAAAGCAACTACTCTATTCTCAAGAATGGAAAGCGAAATACCGGTGGACAACAAAAGAGGTTTAAAGACTCTCTCAAGGCAAATCTAAAAAAAATGTAGTATAAACACAGACAACTGGGAAACACTGGCCTGCGAGTGCTCCAGTTGGAGAACAGCCTTTACCAAAGGTGTCATGGACTTTGAAGATGCTCAAACTCAGGACAAAAGGGCATGTTTGGTAAATCCTCACTGTGATCAACTCCCACCCAGAAACCTATGTCCCCACTGTGGAAGGGCGTGTGGATCCAGAACTGGCCTCTACAGTCACTTACGGACTCACTGTTATGACCATGTTCTTGGGCAGACAATCTCACTCAGCTACCAGTGATAGAAGAAGAAGAAGAAGAAGAAGAAGAAGAAGAAGAAGAAGAAGAAGAAGAAGAAGAAGAAGAGGAAGAAGAAGAAGAAGAAGAAGAAGAAGAGAGAGAGAGAGAGAGAGAGAGAGAGAGAGAGAGAGAGAGAGAGAGAGAGAATGAATCTAAGGCCGTGAAATCTAACCATCCTGAAGGCCTTGTTCTTGATAGTTTCATAACCTGCTACCCCCTGATGTTGCTGGAGTCCCCCTTCCAGCAGTCACAGGCAACATGGTCAATAGTTAGGGATGATGGGAGTTGTAGCCTAGCCCCTCCTCCCGAAAAAGGAGAGTGGCATGTTCTGCATTCCCTGTTTTAATGAGTGCTGGTGAAGTGCTGCAAGGTAAGACCATTTTGAGCAACTATGGAATGAAATGCTGCTATCCTCCCTGCGCAAAACCCACCCACCTCCCCTAGCACAACTTTGGAACACGAAGAACAGAGAAAACAGATTCATAAGAGTGCTCTATACATATTGCCTTTATTTTATTGCTAGGCGTTCCAGCTCTTTCTGGAGATGCTGTGGAGATACTTCCATCACTACCAGCACAGAGATAGAAAGCATACATTCAGAAGCCAGCATTAGCAGCCTCCTGTTGAGTTCACTGAAAGCCTGAACTCAAGAGATGCTAATTAGGTGCAGGTGTGTCACTTCACAACTATGAATTACAACCTTTTTTTTTTAACTGCATGACTGATCTATCCAACAAAACAAACCCAACTGGTCCCACTTACTGCTTCACAACAGATCACATGTTGCTATGGAACAAGCATATTAGTCATGCCTACTGTTAGCCATATGCTGGCCTAGACACCCTGAGTGATTAAGATCCTAAGGATGATTAAGTGTCACAAAGGATGAGACACAAATGGTGATGGCTGACAGAGCTTCCTCCCCCATCCTTCCAGCTATTACCACTGGGGACATGGGGAAGAAAAGTGGGGTTTATCAAAACAGGCCTTTTTACTTAAATACCCTGTGGTGATTAGTAAGTCACTTGGACAAAATGGGAGATGCTAGAAAACAAAAGGAAATAGAAATTTATTCAGTGCAGGTTGGAATAAATTAGCAAAGCACATTAAGCGTGCTATTTGACAGCCCGGAATTGGTGAATGTGATGGTAGCTTGTTTTGCAAGATAATGCCTGGTTGTCTATAACTGATCAGACACAGACCACTGTGAGAGCTTCAAACTAGGGAGCATGAAAGACCCTTCCTCCTTCAAGGACTACATGTACAAAGCAATTCTGACTCTTTCCAGTTCATCTTTCACTCTGTATCTTAGTGAGTGGTTGGAAACGAACCTGGTCCTGCCATTTCAGCAGTCAGATCAGAGTCAGCTTTCTAAGGAGAATACCAGCATTGTCTGTATCAGGGGTGGGTGGCCCTTTAGATATTGCAAAACTCTGACTCCCATCAGACTTAACCAAGATTGGGGAGGATGGGAGTGGGGAGTCCCACAGTTTCCTCACTCCTGGTCTATATGCAAAGGAGCCACACTTGCTAAAAGGACCATCAAAGCTCTCTCACTCATGGAGGTTAGTAGGAGTGACTGAGCAGTAGGGCTGGGTGATATATCATCCCAAACCAGTTTGAAGTTCACATTGTGATAATTGTTTCATAATATTTGAGCTGGCAATATATCGCGAATCACAATGTGTGTAACGGCTAGGTGATATCTGGTTTTCAACATTGTGATAACTAACCAGCTAAACACCGCAATGTTATCAGCAGCTAAACCTCACAATATCACCTACTAAATATTGCAATCCAACACAATGTCTGAATTAAGGATGGAACCATACAGGGGCAAATAGGACAATGTCCTGGCAACTGCTACTACTTAACGGTCCAAAATGGATAAGCAACAATATTATCGATCATCACACAGTTTCAGCAGCAGGCAAGCAAAAATGCATCCCAATAGGACTTTTGGTTTTGGGCTTGGCTACCAAATGGTGGTATTCAGGATAATCCAAAGGACGGCAATGAATCATAGTGAATACAAATAATCTGGGACTGCCAGATTGCCAGCAGGCCTGCTAGGAGGCAGAAGCAGCAGTGGCAGAAACAGTCTGCCATGACCTGCGGTACGTGTCAGCAGTAGCAGCGACAACCTGCAAGGCCTCGCGGTGGTGGCACAATCAGTGGTGGCCCACGAGTCCTCATGGAGGTGATGGGAGGGGGGTAGCAGTAGCAGTGGCATCCTGGAAGGCCTCGCAGCGGAGGAACAAGCAGTGGAGACTTGCGAGGCCTCACAGCGGTGACTCCACGGACAGCTATGAGTGCAAAATGACTCCCAGAAACAATATTTCTGTCAACCTCAATCTGTTGGTGGCCATCACTACCCTTTGTGGAAGTGAATTCCAGAGGTTAATTAATGTGCTGTGAAGGACATTCCTTTCTCTGACTCTTCCAGCTTCACTGGATGGCCCCACATTGCAGCATCTAAAGAGGGAAAATTTCTCCCTATCCATTCTCTCCAAACCCTGCATAATTTTATACACCTCTATCATATTTTCCCATCTTATTCACCTTTTTTTCTAAACTAAAAAGCTTTCTTCACATGCAAATTGCTCCAATCTCTTGATCATTTTGGTTGTCCTTCTCTGCACTTGTGAGATCTTTTTTCAGGCTTGCTGACCAGAAATGAACACAGCAGTCCAAGTGCAGTCGCAACAAATATTGATATTATGACATTTTGGTACTGGTATTTTTATTTCCCAGCCCTTTTCTCATTACCCCTAACACAGAATTTGCTTTTTCCACAGGTGCTGCTGTATGAGCTATAGTCTGATTAAATAAATAAATCATATTTTCCACTGGCTGATTATAAAAAGTCATATGCATTACAACCTTTATTTTGTGGTGGTTAGCTGAGCTGCTTCTGCACCACAGACCCACGGGGTGGGGGGTAGGGGCTGCCCAGATAGGAGGGCCTAGGAAAACATGAGCAGCCAGGGAAGGGGAACTACAAGTGGCCCAGAAGAGGGAGGGGAAGAGTTCCAGGGGTGGTTACAATAATTCAAAATTCAGAAATTAAAAATGGTTAAAACAAACCGTTAAAAGAAGGACACTGACAAACTGGAACATGTCCAGAGGAGGGCAACCAAAATGGTCAAAGGCCTGGAAATGATGCCTTATGAGGAACGGCTAAGGGAGCTGGGCATGTTTAGCCTGGAGAAGAGGAGGTTAAGGGGTGATATGATAGCCATGTTCAAATATATAAAAGGATGTCATATAGAGGAGGGAGAAAGGTTGTTTTCTGCTGCTCCAGAGAAGCGGACACGGAGCAATGGATCCAAACTACAAGAAAGAAGATTCCACCTAAACATTAGGAAGAACTTCCTGACAGTAAGAGCTGTTCGACAGTGGAATTTGCTGCCAAGGAGTGTGGTGGAGTCTCCTTCTTTGGAGGTCTTTAAGCAGAGGCTTGACAACCATATGTCAGGAGTGCTCTGATGGTGTTTCCTGCTTGGCAGGGGGTTGGACTCGATGGCCCTTGTGGTCTCTTCCAACTCTATGATTCTATGATTCTAAACCACAGTCACAGAAACAGGGTAGGTCCTGGAAAAAAACACATCTCAAGTGCCAAAGGCCAGAGATTGACCAAGGAAATAAACTACCTGCTAATATTGCCTTATCCTAACCTCAGTACCAGTTTAAACGAGCTCTGACCCTCCAACACTGACAGAACCCCTTCAAAATAGGAGATGCATTGTTGCATTTCCCATACAGTACCCACCACAAGTGTTACATGAATGTGGGAAATAGTGAGCAGTGCTGCTTGAGAAAGAGTGAACGTTTTCAAGAGGCAGTGGGTTGCAGTGGTTAAAGCTTTGGATTTTGGCCAGCTTCAGATTCCAATCTCTCCAGGAGTTTCAGACAGGAGTGTTTTCCCAGCACTGCCTGGAGATGCCAAGCATTGAACCCGGGACCTCTACATGCAAAGCAGATGCTCCACCACTGAAGCTCACAAGGTGGATCTTAGGACACTCCTGTTCTCAGCCCAACCTACTCTGGCAGGGTGGCTGCAAGGACCAAGTCCAGCATTCACATACATGGGCACTTCCATGACTTCAGTGGAGAAGGGCAGGATGCAAGTGTAAATAATATTATTGAAAATGTCTTCATTTCCATGAGCAAGATTAGCTTTTTCAGAAGAACTAGCTTTGCATTGGAATACTTCAGTGAACTTCATTACCAGAATTTGCTGCAAGTGCCGCTGCCATATAACGAAACAAATGCTGGCCTTTGGTGACGATAGCTCATTAGTCAAGCTTACCTTTGCTGCCTGAGGCGTACAGGCAATGTGCACAGTGCTAGGTTTCACCCCATTTGCTTTGGCTCTTTTAAATAAAGCAAATCTGCTTTTTCTTCTTCCTCGATCTCCATTTGGCAGAGAGCCATTGTACCTGTGGGAAAAGGGTGAATGAAGACATTACACAGGGTATTTGTGGATGGGTTGCCTCTGAATTAATTTGGACATATTACCACAAACCTGTGGAATTAAAGATCTTTTTTTAAAAAGTGTAGTTTTTTATTATAAAAAAGTTGTGCATCACTCAAGTAGATACACTGAGTGTGGTGGTGATCTATGCCTTTATGGCTGAAATGAACTGATGTGGGCAAACAAACTGAAGTTTAATCCTGACACGGTGGTCACAGTCAGTAGAACTGACTCAGTTCTTGGGGTTTAACCTGTGTTGGATGTGGCTACACTCCCCTTGAAAAGGCAGGTGTGTAGTATGGGGATTTTTCTGTATGTGGCCTTGACCCTGGTTGCCCAAGTGTCTTGCCGAGGCCAGAAGTGCCTTTGCCCAGCTGAGACTTGGGCACCAACTGTGCGCATTCCTGGAGACGCAGAGCTGGCCATGGCACTAGCTGCATTACATCTGGATTACTGCAATGTTCTATACATGGAGCTGCCTTTGAAGAGTCCATGGCCAAGTTGTTAAAATTGAGCATGTGCTTTTCAAACCTAAACAGCTGCAGTAGCTTCCAATTTGTTTCCAGGAACAATTCAAAGTGCCGGTGATTCCCTTTAAAATCCTTAATGGTTTAAGACTGGGATATCTGAAGGACCTCCTTCTCTCCCGTATAACATGATCACCATCAAAGGCCCTTCTGTGTGACCCAGAATCCCTTGCAGTATACTTGGTTAGGACTAAAAAGAGGGGCTCCCCCCTCCCTGTGGCTGAAATTCCCTCCCAAGAAAGGAACACCTATCGTCTCTTCAATGGTATTCTGAAAGCTAGTAAAAAACTTCCTTTTTAAGAAGGCATTCAGTTTGTAACTAATTGTTTGCCAAATGAATGGGCAGTGGAAGCAGGGCAGGTGGAGATATCCTGGCTACTTAGAATCATAGAATTGTAGAATTGGAAGGAACCACAAGGGTCATCTAGTCCAACCCCCTGCAATGTAGGAATCCTTTGCTCAGCATGGGGCTCGAACCCACAACCTGAGATTAAGAGTCTCATGCTCAACCCAAAATAAAAGTCTTTGTATATTTGGAATAATTTTTACTGCTGCTGTATTACTGATATTTGGCTGTTTAGTGCTATTTACCTACTGTTGCTTTAGTGTTTTAATTATTTTGTAACTGTTTTTTAAATTGTTAATTTATGATTTTTTTGTTACGACTACTTGTGCATTTCAATGATAGGGGTGCAAATGATTTAAATATATACATATAAAACACCCCTAGAGATAGTATTACAAGTTCACTGAGGTCCTTCTAAAAATCACTGCAGAAATGTAAAATTTATGTGAAACTGTCAACTCAGATATACTGAAGGGTAGCCTATAAGAACAGATGCTCTCTCTTGCTAACAGGTCTGTTACTTATAGCCTAATGTACCATAACCAAATACCTTCAAAATAAATGACACAATACAGCCAACATTAAGCCCTATTGATTTCAGTGAGAAGCTTACATATATGTTAAATCTCTCCTGTGGGAACTGATGGAGCTTAGAAATGTTTAGTGGTGGCTGGATCATGTCCAAAGTCATGAACAACAGTAAGACCATGAGGGCATATCCTAACTAACCATGTCTTCCAACATTATTATGATGGCTTTAGATTGAAGTCAGGGTGCAAGAAGAAAATGGCAGTGGAAATAATCTTCACAGGTCCAGATGGCATTGCATATAGTGACAAGCAAAACTGCTTTTCTTCACAGAGTTAAATGCATTTTCACTGAGTCTCATTTTAATAAGAAATACTTACCCCAATACAATCAGTTCACCATATTTCACTGGTGCTTTTGACGGATGGTTTTCTTGATCAGGCGAAAACATGAGCCTAGTTAGTTCCTTTATCTCAAAGTCCACTTCTCTGATCAAGAACCTTGGCAAACCTTTTTCATTATTTCCTGAGGAGAGTGGAGAAGTTAAGACAAAAATTGGAGTGGCTTAGGAGAAATTAGTTTCACCTATCAGTTTTGCCAAGCACTGCAGACTGACCAACAGTATATAGTTCACCTTCCAGGCCTACTTCATTCATTATAGGAGCTATAGGGTGCTCTTTTTTCTTTGCTCAGCTTTTCCCTGTGGGTTGAAAACTAACTCGAGTCATGTACGGTGGTACCTCTAGTTGCAAACAGGATCCATTCCAGAGGCCCGTTCGCAACATGAAAAGCCCGCAACCTGAAGCGCTGTATCTGCGCAGGTACGCGGCACGATTTGGTGCTTGTGCACATGTGCGAAGCACGATTTAGCACTACTGCGCATGTGCGAGCACCGAAAGCCGGAAGTAACTTTCCGGTACTTCTGGGTCGCTGCAGGACGCAACCTGCAGAAACGTAACATGAGGTATGACTGTATTACAAAAAGAAATGACAAGAACTAGCTTTCTTTCATCTGCTGTTGAGCCCACTTGTGCAAAAAGGATCCTGTATATTGCCCAAGCCTCCCATTCACAGGTTGCCTTGGATATCATTAATAATGATGACATTTGCCACACTTACAGAGAGACAGTGTGCTGTAGTGGTTACTGTGCTTTGCTAAGAATTGAGAGACTGGGGTTCAAATTCCGATTCAGGTATTAAATTTACTGGGTGACCTTAGTCCTGCCACCATCTCTTAGCCTATCATACCCCAACCACATGGGGTTGTTGTGAGGATCAAATGGGGAGGTGGAAAACCATGAATGCCACTTTGAGCTCACTGCAGGAAAAGTGGGACAGAAATATAATTATAAATAAATGCTGTTAAGATACATGCTGGAGTAATCTTAACAACAGTGTCAGTAACATGATAGATAGGTAGGTAGGTAGGTAGGTAGGTAGGTAGGTAGATGGATAGATAGATAGCTGGGGGGCATTCCCCCTCAGTCTTTTACGGCTACAGATCTCATCAGCCCCAGCCAGTATGGCTAGGGAGACCACAAAGTAAAACCTACACCTACACCCACACCCACAATGTTTTAATCATAAGCATATTTATTCAGAAGTAGGTAACAGATTTATAACCAAATATGGATATTGCATACACAATCACACTCTGCTATTCTATATTCAGCCTGGAATAATGGGCCTATGAGCCACATTAATCTTTCAGTTCCTCCCTATTCAAACCTGGGTGGAATCTGAATTGCCTTGGAGAGTTGGGGGCTCTAGAACTTTCCAGTCCAAAAGGCAGAAATGCCAAAAGACAGAAAAGACAGTGTGCCAAAATGAGAGAATGGATCTTGAAACAGCAGCTGCAGTCAGAGGAAGGGGAGTGGAGAGTTCCTTGAGACTAACTTTAGGCCTATTGTATTGGCAGCTGCTGAGGCTTTCCCCTCCCTGTGACCATTGATTCGTGCTTCTTTTTCTTCACCCCGCCCCAAGTCAGGACAAGCAGCAATGGCTGAGAATACACTTGCCAAAACGCTCTGGCAGCTTTGGTGTGTGGAATGTGGGCAAGACAGTATGTGGACATCTGCGCCCCCTTAGCCCCTTGTGACAATGCCTACAGACTGCAAATATCATGGTGAAAACAAGTTTTAAGTGGAAGCCACAATATTCTGCTGACTTCTATAGGCAGCCACATCTGAAACGCAAGTTGGGTATGATAAAGGAAACTAGCTTGGAAGATGAAATGATATTTACACTATTATGTAGTCCAAGGGGCTTAAAGAAAATAACTACTTGAGGACCACTTTCACAATCAATGTTTAGAGATGCATTTTTAGCTATAGCATCCTGCTTCTGAATGGTGCTAAAGGAATAGAAAGTAGAAGATTCAGTTTTGAATTGAGTGTACATGTTACATTTGAAGTACAGAGGTGGAAAAATACAGAAACCTATTTAAGAGCCACTTGTCAGAATAATCTCCAGTTTACATAAAGTGATACAGGAACTGCACTTAACATATGGAACTGGTACAGATCTAATGCTCCCTGATCACTAATAATCAATCAGTAAATGGGAACAAGGTGTTGCATTCTTCCTCTTAACCATGCTTTTTTGTAGTGGGGTGGGAAACGAACAAATTATTTTACAGCCATGATTTAGGAGTATCTTTATCATAGTTAGCACAGGTCGTGTGAGGAAGAGGGAAGGCACAAGAAAGGTAAGGAGCATTAGATCTGTACCAGTTCCATATGTTAAGTGCAGTTCCTGTATCACTTTATGTAAGAAACTCCTGTGGCATGGTAATGTTGAGTTTTATGCCTGCACTGCATAATACTTGGGGAGTGTTATTTCTGCGCTGGAGAGAGAACAATGCTTCTTTCAAAGGCTGCATTCAGATGCGGGATTTATTGCATTAGTATTACTGGATATAATGCTAGTGCTTCTCTTCTGATTTCTAATGCTCCTTTTACACTGTGGTGCATGTTGTGTTATGGGATGGTGGCTTTTTGGTCCATATACCACCATCTCACACTAAATTTTGAACAGAAGGAAAGAACTGCATGCTGGGATACTACCCCAAACTTTATCATGTGAAATTACAATGATTTGAAATCCAGTGATTTGACAGGGTTGAACTGGATTTTTTTCTGGAAGCAATTGACACAGAAATAAGTGCTAAACTTCTGCTAGATTCTACAAGTGGCTTGTAGGTTATTTGATAGGTCACATAAAGCATGAAAAATAACAAGTATTAATCAATCAATCTCCTTTACTGGCATAGAAAGAGTGTGTTGTATATATGGATCAGAACACAACACGGGTAATAAAAGATAGTAAGAGGTACGTTAGGATAAAACCGTCCAGACTTCGTGAAATACAAAAGTGGCTCTTAGGACCTATGGTGACGTAATTTCATGGCATCACTCAAAAATCTTGCCACATTCCCCCCAGCATCAATCCTACAATTATTCAGCAGATAGGACACCCTGGAAGAGTCAGTGTGATAGATCTCCTCCTTCAACAATGGGACCAATTTATTTATTTTTTATTTTTTATTTTTGCATAAAATGGGCAATGAAATAAAACATGTGTGATGGATTCGACCTGTTTTCTGTCACAAGGGGAGTGCTTTTCAGGATATGGGATTTTAGAGAATCTACCTTGTAGATGGCAAAACATTAAATCTTGCGAGGAAAAGAGCTCTGTGTAGGTGGGGATTGTAAAGATGATGTAAATATGGAGTGCCCTGACCATACGAGGATGGAATTCCTAACCCCAATGGGGAACGGGTTTTATTGGCTGTGTGGCTAAGAGTTTGGAATTCAATCTCTAGAATTCTACGCCTGATTGTTTAGAATGCTTCCAATTGTGGGAGCATAAGCAGCGACTCGAGTGACAGGCTACAGGTTTTGATTTTGTTCTCAATGCAAGCTAACCATTGAGTGGTGGAATTCTGCTAGCATATGGAAAGTTAAAGAAAAGCCAGACATGAAATGTAGGCGGGGCCAGAATTTTATAGTGGTGAGCCACGCTTTGGTTTCCAGAAGCCCGTCTTTGGAATGTTGCAGGCCAGAGAGAAGCTCAGGCAGGGGATCCTGGGTGTCAAAGCCCAGCTCTCTCGCAAGCTCAAAATTGTCTTTAACCACCCTTGCGTGGTAATTGGCAGATCAATGGTGGGGAATTTGGTCTCCAGTTTTTCCAAAATTAACACGTAAGGAAGTATCAGGAAGATGGAATAAAGAACTGTCAAGCCACTGGCCAAGCAACTTCTTTTCTGAGGAAAAAGCTATACCCTGCCAACACACAGTCTCCCCACCACACCCTTCAACAGGGTGCCTCCCATGCACCAAAATTTGTGGGTAAGTCTTTCCATATTGAGTTATCCTGATAGTGGTTATTCTTGAAGCATGATTTACAGAAGCACTTCAATGGCCACCTTAGTTATCACAACCATAGTTGTCCTAGGAGAGTTCAAAGTCACATTTTCAATTTTACAACTTTCCTAACAGGTCGTTTGGGCTAAGAGACTTGCCCAAGGTAAGCCCAGGGAGCTTCACAACTAAGCAAGGATTTGAATCTCGGCTTCCCAAATCCAAAACTCTAACACTCTTAACCATTGCTTTATGTTGTTTTAAAACTATTAAAGTCAGTCATTTTTACTAGATGCAACAAAAGGAGGGGGTAGGAGGAAGATACAGCGTGGAAAAACCCAGTTTCTAGGAAGCTGCAATTCCCCCCCTTGCTGATACAAAGCTATAGCTCTTCAAAATGGAATGTAAGGAGGTACACATTTGTAAAATAGTTAGAAGTATATGCATGCAACTTTCTTGCACTAATCCTGAGCATGCACTTATTGTGCATGACAAATGTATAGGATATTATTTAGTGAATTGGTTATCTTGTTTACTGGTGCTTTGCCTCCTTAAAACGCTATTAAATGGTTTAAGAACATGCTTTGCTACTGGGCTTCACTCACATAATTCTATTTGACTGCATAAGAACTAAGCATGCAACATGCAAGGGTTTCACTTTGATAAGAGAGGTTGGCTTATGGAACTACACAATACTGGACACTATTAATTCCATTTCTTGAAAGTTTTAACTTTCAAAAAGTTGTGCCAAGTATTTCTACTTCTTTGATTATCTGGTTCACATAATACTGCCCTGGAAAGTCCTTCTCTTTTAAACTCTCTCTCCTCTTGTCCCTCCTCTCCTCTAACACACACACACCCTTTTGTTTAGAAGCATCCTGCATGTTCTCACCTCAGAAGCCTTTGTATGGCATAGCTTTAAAGTCACATTCCTCTTGTACAGTTCAGGTTGAAACATCCTCAATTCACCCAGTGCAGGCAAGGTTCCAAAAGACAGCAGCAGTAGGTGGAAGTGAAAGTATGACTTTGACACCAGTAGCACAAATTCACCCTCTCTTCCCTTTGGAAGCATACTAATTTGAAATCCTTAGAACCTAAAAAGTCTCCCATGGCCCACTTTTGTCAGCCAAAAACAATATGCCAAGGGGAAATTCAATCACATAT